CTGTTGAGGGTTCAGCCTCCTGATGAGTCGGTGAAACTCCGACGAAACAGTTTGTCACAGCCCCTCGTTTGTTGTCCTCTTCTCCCTCTCTGCCTACGGTTTACCGGGCAGTTCTATTTGACGATATATAACCTATTTCTTCGTGGGGTGCTGACGACCCCCGACCTGTAGGTGCCGACCAGAGTACTAGTCAAGGGGTGCTGACCGTTGGGGTATGCAACACTGTTGCCCATATAAGGCCTTCTGAACCATTGTGCTGCAACTGTTGATGCTGTTGTTTTCCGTGACTTTCCAGTTTTGGGAATCACTTTTAGCAGACCTCGTATCGCGGGACATGCAACTCCCATGTGGTCTCTGTTCCTTTTTTTTGCCTTTTTTTTTAAAGCCCAGGGTGTTGTAGAGGCCAAGACCAGACACACGGTTGATTGCTGGCAGCGGGCAGCCAATGGTTGTCCTGACAGGGTCCCTGTTCCTAAGCTATTGACTGAAAACGTTTGACGCTGCTGAAAATTGTGCAACTGCTGCAGGCAAAGAAGTCACCCGCTGTTACATACGAAGTGTATTACACGCCTACAACAGATGTGAGTGTTGCCCAAGTGAAGGAGCTGATGGATCTTGAGAGGAGAATCACAAGGCTTGAGAAGTCTGTGGGGGGTCAGTTCTCTCAGGTGAGTTCTTGTGTTGTGATGTCCCAGTCCTGAATACCATGGGGTGCCATGTGCTTTTGATCTTGACCTGAAACAAGCTAGAACAGATAAGGATGCACAAAAGGAAAAGAAGGATGAAAGGAATAGCTGAGGGAAGCTTCATCAGTTCTTTTAGACTCTGCGAGTCTGCATGATATACTAGGCTCCATACGATGGACTGAAAAAGAACAGCTGAAAATGGGAAACAAAAAGAATCTCTGAGAAAAGCTTCACAGATCTTATACTCCGTATGATGCACTACCGTCTTCACCCAAATAGAACGCTCGGTCATTATAGCCGTATTTGGGGCAACTTTCAGTCCAGATGCAGCCATAATCACCGAGCGTTCTATTGGGGTGAAGATGGGAGGCTTCTGGTGATGGGCAGTTATCGACATGTCGACATGTATCCGAGTAAAGGTGCCTTCATATCCACCCAACCAATATATAATTGCATCCAAAACTCGAAAGAACTTTTTGGCTGTCCTACGAGGTACCCTTCTATATTTTGACTCGTCCAACACAACAGAGAGCTACACCTAGCGCCAAGTGCTGGGGGCTGCGAGATTTGAACCCGCAACCTGCCCCGATTTTCTCTGGAGTTTGTGAGTCTTGCACTTTTCGCTGCCGCAAACCTAGGACCTGCAGGTAGAATTTACAGTAGCCCCTTCCGCCTCTGGGAGATCAAGATTTTCCCAACAGGTGGACGCTGCAGGCCTAACATCTTCTCTGAATATAACATACGTACGATATGTATGATACAACATATGGTGTACACTGTATTCAAATATGACGTACCGTGCGCTATATTCGAAGTATAGGTACCAAGTTTCTGCAACACCCCTGCAATAAACTCAGTTCATGATGGGCACACTGTGGCGGGGAAGGGTCGTCACTTTTGGTCAAATGGCCAGAAACAGGGTTCAAAGGTCACGTCCCAAGTCTAAGAAGTGTCTAGAAAAGGGCCTAAGGGCAAAAAAAGGGGTATCAGGGCCTGGGTCAAAAACAGCGTCCAGAGCCCCCACGTGAGGTAGTTGACTCTTGGAAAAATCAAGAGTCAGACCAAGCACGGGAAAGCAGGCCCAAAGTGAAAGTCAGCCCAGTAGTCAGCCCTGGCCATAGATCAGATGCACATCAATGGTTGTCTGCAGGTATCCAGAAGATTCCAGTCCGGCTGGGAAAGGGTACTGCTGCTTCAAGGCTGCATCCAGGCTGTCGATATCGGGCAAATCTGGAGCGTCGACACTGTCCAAGGGAAGACTGGTCCACGGACTCCACGCCAGTCAACACTGGTCAACGCTATGAAACGATACTCAGACACCGGGGAAGGCATTCTGCCTTGCACTGGCTTGATGCTAGTGCTGTATGGCGAGGCTGCTGGGGTTGGATGCTGGCGCCAGATGCTGCTGGTGGGCGCCAGCCTAGAGGGAGATTATGTTGGCGCGACTATAGCCACGTAGATGTGGACTAGGTGATGTGGATTGGCGAGGAGGAGGAGGAGGATCAGGGCTGTGAGATTTTGACGGGACGTGAGGAAGCTTACCTGGATTTACCTGGCAACGACACGTGCTGTCTCCACGAAGGTGAGGAAGTGTTGCGCCATCCTCCATATCTGATTGCTGATGTGGAAGGAGGATGGGCGCCCTGTGATGATCTGCAGAGTGGTTATGTCAGAGGACGTCAGAGGGATTATATGTTGCTGAGGTGGCGATAGGGGAGAAGCCTGGAGTGGGAGTGGGAGTGGGAGAGAGGGAGACATACATGTACTATTGATTATCATTGAGACTCTCCTCCTCTTCTCTGTCTTTTCTCTTCCCTTGCTTTTCTCTCATGCTCTTCTTTGACGAGATGATACTCTTGAATTGTGCACATGATCGAGACATGGACATGTAATCGATGTTGGAGACTTCATGAGCTGTGCTGGGTTCGGACTCCTATTACATGACTAACTGGCGTCTCAACGAGACTGGGGGTTCATTACACCCACCCTAATATACACATATATTGGGGTGGGTATGTGACAATTCATTAGGGTGGGTGTTGCGGAAACTTGGTATCTATACTTCGTATATAGTGTACGATACATTGTGTTTGGAGATATTGTACCCCGTATGTTGTACCCCCTTTGTGAAAGATCATGAAAGCTCATGAAAAGATGACGGGAGGATGAGGAGGAATGGGCTACTCCACCCTTGGCTATGGGTTTTTGCCTGTGTTTGGGACTACCGTCTTCACCCGAATAGAACGCCTGGTCATTATCGCTGCATCTGGACAGGAAATGGCCCCAAATATGGCTATAATGACCGGGGGTTATATTCGGGTGAAGACGGTAGGGACCGTCAACCACATGGTGGGAGGGAAGACAGACAGCAGTGGGGAGTAGTCACTTGAGCATCTGAAGAGTTTACGCTCAGGTATGGATGACAAAGGGTGCGTGCATAGAGTTGAAGCACCACTGACCGTGGACTCCACAAAGCCAACCGCCCCGGACCACGACAGCGCAATGTTTTGAGGTCACCTATCCCTTCAATGATTCCAACACCATTTCACTTTCGCCAGTATCATGATAGCGAGTTATTGCAGCATGGACGATTATACGCCATAATTTCAGGCTGCATGTGCAAAACCCTCTTGCGAAATCGCTAAGTTTGTAATGGACTATAGATCCTGGCCATGCCACATGACACACAGAGTAATGGGTGTCAATGATCAAGGTCATGAGTTGATGACACCCCCATTTGCTGCTGCACAATTTGCTGGAAGGAGGGAGAGTGTCAAAGGGTGTTGCAGCCTTGCAGGAGAATAAGCAGGGGTTAATGCGACTCTTTGTGCAAATTTGGGGGAGAAATTAGGGGAAGGACGGGGAGTATCAAGGGATGTCATGGGATCCTTTCCAGGCGTTGGGGAAGGGAGAGAAAATGTGAGGGGGCACACAGGGTACTTTGCACACTCTGGGAGGAGGGATGGTGTTGAGGTTTGTTGTGAGGTGCTTTGTGCATGTTTGGGAAAGGAACGAGAACGACAAAGAGGGTTGCAACACTCTGCGTGGATCAGAGGGGGAGGGGAATATTGTTCATGGCTGTTGCAAGATGCTTTTGTACATGTTAGGGGAGGGAGAGAGAACTTCAAGGGAGGTTGCACAATGTGGGTGTTTGCCCAAATGTCCCATTTCTTTTCTCACAAGCCATGTAGTTGCGGTTTATTTCAAATTATTTGTAATTTTCTCCCCTCTCCCGGCATCTTCTTTGGGACTCTTCACCTCTTACCAGTACTGCAGCTGGCTGGGAGAGGTAGCAGTCTCAACTTTCCAGTGTTTTCGCTTTGTGAAAAGACAGCCGCCCAATTTTGGCGCAGTGATGGACCACATGTGGTCCTGAGGTTTTCGAGCCCAGGACCATTTTCCATGGTGAGATATCAGAGCCCCACATTGACAATCCCTCTCAACCATTCATTTTGCCTACCCAGTCCGTCAACTTAGTCTACGCTACGGATACTGGAACAGACCGCCCCAGTCGGAAAACGTAGTCTACTCTACAACCACTGCAACAGACCTCAACGAGCACATTTTGGGGAAGCAGCCGAGGATACGGATCCTGGCACACATTGGGGAATAGACATTTTGGAGTCTCATCCCGGATGAGCGCATAGCGTGAGAACAGCGCCACTTCTTCCAGTGGCAGTGATTTCCAATGAGCACCAGGGACCACTGCTATGGCTGGAAGATGGAAGAGGGGTGGTGTCATAGCTACCGTAGCCGTAGCTCGTTAACAAGTAGGAGACTGCATTGTGGGCTGGTAGGAGAGATACCCTGCTTGAGGGTGAGGGGAAGGTGCCAGTGATATCAGCAGGATAGCGTTGTAACCATTCTCATCTTGGAGGCTGAACTAGACTGGTCCCGCCCTGCTGTTGGACTACCACGTTGACACTTTCCTCAGGATTCCTGCACCGCAGTTCAGCTACTACCGTCTTCACCTGAATAGAATGACCGGTCATTATATCTGTATTTGGTGCAACTTTCAGTCCTGATACGGCAATAATTACCGGGCGTTCTATTCGGGTGAAGACGGTAGGTACTTCTCTGAAGGTTAGAAGCTATATGCATTTCTGCGTAAAATATGTTGAAAAAACATCCTCTCTTGATCAGTAGAGGCAAGTGAAACACTGTAGATGGGAGAGAGATTTTAACAGAGAGGTTTCCTGTTTACGCCGAACTTTACGGTGGTAAGTTCTTGGAAAGTTCTTGGATAACTCGTTTGGGTTTGGAAGTTTGAACAGTGAAGATTGATGAAGAAATGAAATGCTAGTTCATTATCATATTTTTATTGCTGGCTTTTCAGCCGGTGTTCAGTTGTCTTTGAATCAAAGTTGGTATCAACTGATTGCGTACTGTGTCAACGATTGATTGGTTTCTTTCTGCATTTCTCTTGAGGTGGTGCCGCTGGAGTGGGGGGGAGGAGGGGGTGGGAATGGGTTCATCGACCAGGGTGGATCTTTGCTTGATCTGCATGCAGGAATGCGTGATTTGGAGAAGAAGATTGATATGCTGGACCCACAAAGACTAGCGGCCCTCGACGGAACACTAGAGAACCTGAATCTGAAGATGGCAGCCACTTTGGAAATGAAGCAAGAACTGGCTGAGATTGACAGCTCAACAACAACTGAACTGGATGAAAAGGTAAAAACGAAATTTCTTCAAAAAAACAAGTCTTGAGGTAATAAGAAGCAGTGAGGTAGCGCAGTCTAATGGAATTTACAATTGTTCCTCGTCGTCTGCTCTTTATTATTTAGACTCTGTAGAGTCTGTACAAATTAATGGCACATCAATGTATCAGAAATTTGACTATTTTGTGCACAGGGTATCCAATGTTTATCGTATCTTGCTTATCCTTCTTCTGAGTTTTTCGTGTTGTTTGAGTGAAGCATTTAGTGAAGTTTACTAGTCAGGCTGTCGTGTTTTTTTTTTTTTTGGGGGGGGGGGGGGGGGCGGAGGATTTTAAAAATGCCCCTGAAATTTCCATTTATCTGCGGTTTGTCGCTCTGACGACCGACGTACCCTGATTTGCCCCTCTGACAACGATTCAAGTTTCCAAAAAAATCCTGGCGTCATTTGGGCCTGAGATATGTTCAATATGCCCCTACCGGTACCGGTGCCAAATTTTCAGTTTGCCCGTACCGGATAGTCGTCGAGGAACTGGGTCGGCCAGGGCTATAGGGCTAGACCTGAATGCGAGGGATATTGAGAATGACGAGGTAGATAACATCACCAGCGATGGAGGATGAGGAGGAGGAGGAGGGGAAGGAGGAGGTGGAGGAGACGGGGGGGGAGGAAGTTTCGAATGTCAAGCCATGGGGAAGTAGTGAAGTTGGAGGAAGACCACATGGGAAGAGAGAGAGAAGCCAAGGTGGGGAGGAAGGAGGAGGAGGAGGAGGAGGAGGAGGAACGAGCACCGGAAGCATGGCTATGGGGTACGAAGTGATGGCATACGAAGGGGCCAATGTGTCTGCTGGAATAAGCTGCGGTCTGACGAATGCCATAGCTAAGGGGATGCAGTTGGATGAAGATGGTTCTCACCCCTCCCTTCGTCCTCCTCCTACTGCTTCTCTCCTTCTCTCTCTCTCTCTCTCTCTCTCTCTCTCTCTCTCTCTCTCTCTCTCTCTC